CTTGTTAAATGACTAATCTTGATTTATGTTGTATAACACTTGGTACAACAAATGCTTGGCACTTTCATAGCCCATAATGTATGGTATAACCGACACCTGAGCTATGAAAGGAACTTGATTTGTTGTTAACATAAGTTATAATCATGAATGCTTGACGAGATTTACAAGTATTAGCATTAATTGAATAAGATGACTAATGTAATCATGTTAACAATATATAATCTGATTGGAAGCTCCTTTGTGTGTGGTTTCCAATTCAATAATAACAGTTTATACTATACTTGTTTGATATACCATTAGTGGAACCTCTAACCTTGACATTTGTTATTATTATTGTTTAATCCTTACATTAATATTCCATCTCCAAGTTCTCATCATCATCTTCTCTTCTTCTTCTCTTTCTTTATTATTATTATTATTATTATTATTATTATCTTCTTCTTCTTCTTCTCTTTCTTTTTCTTTATTATTATTATTATTACTACTACTATTACTATTAATACTATTATTATTATTATTATTATTATTATTATTATTATTATTATTATTATCTATTGTTATTGTTGTTTATAATTTGTACAATTAACCTCCATGTGGTTCGACCCCGGTCTTGCCGGGTTATTTATTACTTCGACACTCCTGCACTTGGGAGAAGACATCAACCTTTTAGTCGTGTCAATAATCTTTGTATTGTTTGTTTCTAATGCATCTATCAAAGCAGCATAGCCCCCATTAGTATTCCTAGGTATCACAGAAGTTCCACTAACATATTCCCACATCCTTTTACCTTTAAGAGAATTTCTCATTACATAACTCTAATATGAATAATTCTTTTCATTCAACCCCATACTCACAGATTGAAGCGAATCATTTCTTTTAGTAGTCATAACCAACAAACAAAGAAAACCAAAATGCAAAAAAAAAAAAAAAACAAAGTACCAGATTGTAGAAACTAAGCAAATATCTTTTTGAAGTTAGATTTGTAAAAACTATGTTTGAAATTAAACCTCATTCCATGAAATCATGCTTTGATACCAAGTTAAACAATCCAAATAAATAAAGAGAAATACATAAATAAGAGAGGAAAAGGCCAGAGTTTTGTTAATATTGCATTGAAGGAATAAGTTTAATCTAAATACAAAAAGATTATATATAGGTTAAACTAAAAAGAAAATAAAAATATTATTCTACATTTAATAAATAATAATATAAAATAACTTTATATTTCTTAGCAATGACATCCAACCATTTGCTTTTTGTCAGATTGGCATACATATATTATCCATTTTTTCTTGAAATATGTAATGCTTTAAGCCTTGCTTTTGAGTGTAGTGGCTTATCACTTTTTCTTTGGTTTTCTACTAGGACAAAGGTAGGGTGTTTGATATCGTTTCACTCATTTTCCTCATTTTTCTTTTTTAATCAATTTGAATTGTAAATTTTAAGCTTGGTTTGGGGAGGTTTATTTACACAAAGTTTACTTCCTAAATTTGTTCATTGTCTTTTTATTTGACTTTTAACATTTAGCTCCTTTTAATCATCTTTTATTTCCTTTTCTTTTGTAGGTTATTTTATCATTTATAGCCCTTCTTAGCATTTTGATGCATTATGGCTATTAACTTTGTTATCCCCTTTTAAGGTAAGTTTGTCGGGTCATTTTTGTGCTTTTTTTTTTTTAATAAGATATGTTCTAATGCTGGAATTTTAAGCTTTTTCAATGCTATTTTTTATTAAATTGTTTGAGATGTCTTTATTGTTGTTAAACAATTATTTGTTGCATTGTTCACTGCTCATTTTTTGTTAGTATGGCAGTTTTAAGTTTAGGATGTTCTTTTGTTTATTGAAAAATTTATAATTGCTTATTTGAGTTTTTTAAAAACTCCTATTTGAGTTGATGTAATATGTTGTTTTAAAAGATACATTTCAAATTGAAGGATGTTTGATAGATGGGAAAAAAAGTTTGTTAATGGTTTTTCCATATGAACATTACTTAGTAGGTTGACTGATGAATTGATCTATGCATTTAAAAATGTTTTTTTTACAAGTTGTTGTATTCTTTGTGATTCTTCTGAAGATTTTTAATCTAGCTCTATTATCCACTTTCAAGATAAGTTTGTTAGAGTATGTTCATGTCTTTTTTTAGAGGTCGTTTTCTGATGTTGAGATTTAAAGCTTTTTTTAAACTATTTTTGACTGATTTTATTGAACTATCTTTGCTGTTGTGGAAACATTTTCTGTTGAATTATTCATTGTTCATTCTTTGTTTGTATGATAATTTCAGATATTAGTGTTTTTTTTTTTTTGCTTGCTGAAAAATATATACTTACTGATAGGGGTGTTAAAAAAAATCAATCAACTGATTAAACTAATAAAACCGAGAAAAAATTAACAGGAAAAACAAAACCTAATAACCGATTAACAAATAAATAAACTACCTGGTTTGGTTTTGATTTCAAAAATTTTAAGTCAATTGAACCAGACCAAACCGAATCTATTTAATTGAATCTAAATAACTTAAAAAAAAGATATAAAAAAAAAACATCCATAAAGACCTTAACCCTAAATCATTTTATCTCTTTCTAACTGCCTTGCTCCTACTCCTTCTTTTTTGTACTATTCTCTCTCATTTTTTTTCATATTAAATGCCCCCTCTCGTTCCATTTTCTCTATACTCCTCTCTTATTTTCTCTCATATTAAGTGTTAACATTAAATTTTACTTTTAAGTTTTGAGTTTTTGACACTATATCTCTCTACCTTCTCCTACAATTACTCTTTTAAGGTTTCTAGTTTTTCATGCTAAAAAATTGACTTGAATTGAACAAAATCGATTCTCAGTTTAATTTGAGTTATATTAACAAGGAATACTATTTTTCAATTCGGTTGAATTTTTGGGTTAAAACCAAACCGGATTAAATCATGAATATCTCTACTTATTGATATGAATTTTTTTTAAAAAATAAAATTGCTTGAACTTATATTAGTGGTTATTTTAAGAAATACATTTTATAATGAAAAATGCTTGAAGATTAAAAAAAAACAATTTGTTTAAAGTTTTTCCATGTTGGAATTAGTTGCTAGGTTGCCTGATGAAATAATTTAACATTTAAAAATGTTTTATTAGGATTGGTTCGTGACTTTAGAGGAATGCGTCTCATGTTTTTTAATTAATGGGGTAAGAATGCTTTTTATTATTATTATTATTATTATTATTATTATTAAGGGTGTTATAGTGAAATTGGTGGTTTCAAGTTTTTAAATGCTTTTCATTAAAGATTCAAACAATCAAGGTTATTACTTTTATGCATGAACAAAAGGCATTGGATCATTGTTATGGTCATTTAAGGTGTTGCATGTAGAATTGAGAATTTTTGACAAGTTGTGAATTGTTCCTGGCTCATCACTTCAGGGGGTTGTTGCTGGCTCATCACCTCCTTTTCTGCACAAAAAAAATTGTATATTTTTATTATGTGTTTTAAAAGGAAATTACAACAGATGGTTCAGATCTATTACTGTCATTGGTTTCATTTCTTTTCTTTTCAATTAATAAAGTCATTATTGGGTTCTTGAATATCATATATGCAATTAAAACAATAAAACAAAATTATTTGAAAATTCCTATAATCTCGTTAGATAAATTTAGAGTTATTTAAGAATTTATTACCTACAGATCTATTCTTCTCTGTTTTTGAATAATTCTTTAAAAGCTAAGTTTTTATAATCCATAAACCATAAGCCGTTTAATTGTTCAATGTTCAAATATAATCCATACAAACGACTAGTAAGAAATCTCCTAAATTTCTATTTAGGGGAGAAATTGTTATGCCTAGAATGTTATCTTTTTATTTTATGACTTATATAGTTTTTATATCTAGCAAATAACCTTAAAAAAATAAAAGGTATATATTTATATTTATAAGGAATCCTAAAAACTCTAAATAGCAAAATATATATTGGCCCTTAAATAATACCCATATATTATTAAAGGATAATTTTAAAAATTTAATCAATTAAGTCCCACTTGTGATTATTCTATGACTAAAATTATAATCCCTAAATTAAATACATTATAGAATTTAATTTCTAAAATTATTTGTAATCAAGTCATATTTAATTAATTATTATAATTTAATTTTTAACTAATTATTATTAATATGTGTGATCAATTAGGTTCCTAATATATTGGTCCAACTATAAATTATAATTCTAAATAAATAGAATTAAATAAATCAAATAATTTAATTTATTATTAATTTAATAATTGATTAATTTATATTTAAAAATCAAGTACTATATCATTTAATAATATATCATTATTCTTCAAATATTAAAAAAATTATAAGTGATTTGATTTAACTTTTAAGTAACCGGTTTCTTAGTATAATTATTATAAATATTTAAAAATTAAATACATTATATAGCAGTATATCATAATTCTTTAAATATTAAAAAAATAATAAATAATTTGATTTAACCTTTCATAAATATTTTTATTATTTTTTTGGATTATAAGTTTTATTTTTTCTCTTTTCATCCTTTAAATTAGACCCAAAGAATAGCGAAAAGAACACCTCTAAATACCATAAAATTTATCGATTTTGTGATTGTTAAATTAATCTTTTTTATTTATCCTTCTATTTATTTATCTGATTAGACAAAATCAAATAGGGATTCAGTCTGGTTTGTTCATATTGTCTGTTAAAATAAGCACAAATATTCTGTTTCATGACGTGATATTTTTGTATATTAAGAAAATTTTAAAATTGTTCATTATTTTTCTGAAGGTCCCAAAAGTCTGGCCAGAAAGCCCGTAGCCAGAACTCGGGCCGAGCTAAAAATTAATCACGCTGTTTTAGGACCGACCCGAACCACAACCTGGACCATGAAAAGTAAAACACACAGTGTCCAAGTTTCCAAAGGATAACGGTGAACCGGGCCGAACTCGATAACTACGGAGAGCTCATTGAAGAGAGGCGCTAACCGAACCCCAAACACCCCAACCTAGGGCCCAAAAAGAGGTCTTTCTTTTTTACTCAAACCCTTAAAAAGCCGTAGGCCTTCATCTTTCATTGACAGCCGCGCTGCGTCTCTCTCTGTAACAGGTGTCTCTCCCTTCACATCTCCTAGCTTCTCCCCCTCCACACCCTTGCGCTGTTGAATTGTTATGTTGTTGTTTTTTGTATTTTGCAAGTAACCCAGGACTTGGGGTAATCTTTGTCTTGTATGTTGTTTGCTTTACGAACGAAGGACATTGTTGGATCTGATGAGTTTTAAGCACTGCTGACTATTTTACATATGCTTACCTTTTAGGTCTCTGCAGTCGTTTCTGCATGCTTGGCTGCTGATAAAATGAAAGGTTAAATAGATACAAGATAAACCTTTTATGTTATTTTCCTTTTTGTACATTTGTTTCACCGTCTCTGATCCTGCTGCTTTGATTTTGATGCGCGGCTTCTTATTGTCTAATAAATAATGAGAAAAAAAATGCTTGGCGAGATTTTAACTGCTAGTTTCAGCTCAATATTTAAACTCCCAATGCTTTGGAATGATTGAACAATTGGTTATAATTTAGTTTCTACTAGTGAGTGTGGAACTGGCTGTAGTGATTATGAGTTATTTGTTGCTCAGTGATGCTTTCTTCGCAGCCTGCTGTTGAATGCTTTTTTTGGTTTCTTATTTTCATCTATGAATGAATAGGAAGACTTGTATTGGTTAACTTAAGGGCTCATGGTGTTTCAATGGAAACTAATTGAGATTGTACTCTGCTTGTATTATAGTTAGCTTAAGTTTTACCTTTTTCATGTTGTCAGCTTGATTCCTATCACTTTTTGAATTGTACAGACAGTGTCATTTTTCTAACTCTGTAACATGTATACTCTTTCAGGTAAGACATGGTTAAGCATAACAATGTTGTGCCAAATGGGCACTTCAAGAAGCACTGGCAAAATTATGTCAAGACATGGTTTAACCAACCAGCTCGAAAGACTCGCAGACGCATTGGTGAGTAGCATCTACTTTGCCTTTATTTTGTAATGGAATTTACCCATGTGCTGCACCTATTGTTTCTAGGGTCCTCATTTGGAAGTACCTTTATTAACAATATTCATTTCTGTGTTATCTATGAAATCATTTTTAGCTCGTCAGAAGAAGGCAGTCAAAATCTTTCCTCGACCTACTGCTGGGCCTCTTCGACCCATTGTACATGGCCAGACTTTGAAGTATAACATGAAAGTGAGAGCCGGTAGGGGGTTTTCTCTTGAAGAACTCAAGGTTAGTTGGTTTTCCTTTTCCTGACTCTGCAGAGTACCTTTTCACGTTTCATCATCTTCGAGTCTCCAAAATGCTTAATTGAAGAACGAATTGCATGCATTTTTTTAATGCTCTAGTTTATGGTGTTTCTATTTTACACTTGTATAAGATCTGTGTTTATCTATGCCAAGTTTCTGATTTGTGCTTGAAGTGTTTTGTGATAACTGTAATTGGAGATGGATTTATAGGTGCATTTAGTTTTCATTACACATTTCTTTTTGAGGGAGGATATGTGAATTTGTTTTAGGCCTTGTAATGGTCTTGGGGATTGTTTTCACTTTCTATGTGATATTGGGTACTTGTGGTTCCATGGCGTTGGTTACTTTTATTTAGTTTTGTAGGATGAATAACCCATTTCCTTTTCCTTGTCCAGGCTGCTGGTATTCCAAAGAAACTTGCTCCGACAATAGGAATTGCGGTTGATCACCGTCGCAAGAATCACTCCCTGGAAGGACTCCAGGCTAACATTCAGAGGCTGAAAACATACAAGGCCAAATTGGTTGTCTTCCCAAGACGTGCTCACAAGTTCAAGGTATTTTCTTGGGTATGCTTGACTAATATGATGATTGACTGGTTTTCCACTTGGAATTTCATATTTATACTTGTATTCTTGCAGGCTGGTGATTCTGCTCCTGAGGAACTGGCAACTGCTACTCAAGTACAAGGACATATTATGCCTATTGCATGTGAGAAGCCATCCGTGGAGCTTGTGAAGGTCACTGAGGAGATGAAGTCATTCAAGGCTTATGACAAGCTTCGTGCGGAGCGTACAAATGCACGCCATGTTGGTGCCAGATTGAAGAGGGCTGCAGAAGCTGAGAAGGAAGAGAAGAAGTAGGAGTTAGACCCTGTCAAGGTGATTTTTGAGTGGGAACTGGGAATTTTGTTGTTTCATCTTGAACTGGGTTCAATTTACTGGTTTCCAACCTGTAGACTACCATAATTTTTTAAATTGTCAATCGAGTTTTAGCAAGGATTCTTAGTTTGTGGACATAATTTATTCAACTTTCTCCTTGTCCCACTGATGTGACTCGCAGTGCTCAAGTTCTGATAGATGTGTACATTTCAGGCTTGAATGGAACTGGTGCATTTCAACCGAATGTGTATCAGGATAAACGGATTTTGTTAAAAGGATTAACTTGTAAACTCTCCAAACCAAATAAAAAAATTTAAGTTTATTTTTCAATTAATTTAATATGTGAAAAATAAAATTTAAAATAAAATTTAATTAGAAAAGTAAGTTAAATTAACTTGTCAATTGACAATAATAAGTATTGAGACTCAAGATATGAAATTAATATAACTTTATAAAAATAAAACTAAAATAAATTATAAAATCTAATTCCTGATGAAATTAAAAAAATAGAGGCAATCAATTTAACTCGTAACCAAAATCATGAGACTATAATAACTTTATAAAAAACAAAATAAAATAAAATATGAAGCACAATTCTTAACTAACCCAATAATGGAGGGTTAAATTAAAAAAAATTAATAAAAAGCAAAAATATCCCAAGTACATCTAAGATAACTTTTCAAATTTAGATTATGAGATTATGATAAATTTATAAAAGAAAATAAAAGAAAATCAAATTCTCAATTAATGCAATGTTAAATGATGAAATTGAAGAAAAATACAATTAAAAAAAATCCGAGCTAACTTGATTAATCTATAAAATTCACAATTCAAGTCATGAGACTATGATAACTTCAAAGAAAAGTAAATAAAATAACATGAATCAAATTCTTAATCAATTTAATATTGAAGAAAAAAGTTTTAAAAAAGAATTAATTAAAAAAATAAAAAAATAATCTAAGTTAATTAAGGTTAATCTACTGAATTCAGGTTATAAAAATAAAATAATTATATAAAAAATAAATTAAAATAATTATTAGGTCCAATACACATTAAATTTAATATTAAAAAATAAAAAATAAAATTATAAAAACAAGATTTATACCGCTTTACCAAACAAACATTTACTAGTGTGATTCACTTCCTTCGCTTAGGTTTATGAACAGTTTCTACATCTTGCCACTAACATGATAATTCTTGGTGCTTGTTAATTTTCGTGTTTAACCCTACTGTGTTTAATCCTCGGTGTATCTTTCATGATCTACTAGGTGTTATTAGATCATTGCTCATGATACGATGTGGATTGAATATTAAAAAAAATAAAATTATTTAGATATTTTTATAAAAAAACAAAAAATTAAATTATATGAAAGTTAATTGGGTTAACTTGATAAATTCAATAATTATCCGAATAACTAATAAAAATATAGCTTGATTTAAAAATAAAAAAAATCAAGATAATATTTTTTTAAAATATTAAAATGAAAATATATTATATTAACTCAAATCTGCTCGAGTTAACCTGTCAAATTTGCTACTTAGGTTATAAATTCCTATAGAAAGCATATATAATTTTTTTTATTAAACTCAATTCTTAATCAACTCAATATTAAATGTTGAAATTAAAAATAAAATTCAACTAAAAACATATATCGAGTCAACTTAGGTTAATCTGACAAACATAAATCATAAAACTAGGATAACTCTAAAGAAAATAAATCAAAATAAATTATAAAACTTAATTTTCAATCAACTTAATATTAAAGGGTAAAAATAAAAAATAAAAAATAAAAAATAAAAAATTAATTAAAAAAATACAGCAAACTACCAAAAGTTAACTGACTAGACCCGTAATTCAAATTATGATATCAATATAATCTCATAAAATACAATAAATATATATATATATATAAAATTCAATTATGTATTTCATGCTCTTTGTCATCAATTAAAGAGCAATCAACATTAACATATATTAAAATAGCTTGACACTTCCTATAACAATAAACAATGGACAACCAAACATTTTTTCCCTATGATTCTAAAATTTTTAGGACTTTAATTTTTCTAATTCCATCTTCAAAAATTAAATTTAAAATATTGAATTTTATAATTTATTTCTTATAAAATTATCTTAATTTCATGATCAGAAGTTTTACAAGTTAGCCATATTGACTCAAGTTATTTTTTATTTATTTTTTAATTAATTATTTTTTATTTTATTCTTGAATATTGAGTTAATTAAGAATTAGATATTATAATTTTTTTAATTTTCTTTTTATAGAATTATTCCAGTTTCCTAACTCATATTTGGTAGTTTTTTTACGTTAATTTACATTTTTTTTTATTTGATTATTTTAATCTAATAATTAGTTGGAAATTATAATTTATAAAATCTCATGGTTTTTAACACGTGAACACTCTGCATACCAGTTTTACATAAACTAGATTTTATATACCCAATCAACACTAATTAAAAATAATAATAAAATGAGTTCTTTTCTAATTAAAAAAGAACCGAAAGAAGAGAAAATTGTTTCTAGTACTGTGTTATTAATATATAAAGTATTTTTATCTTTTCATCAAAATTTTAAATTGATTTTGACTCAATCATGTATAAAATAAAATTTATTTTTTTAGAACATTGGAATTAAGAAAATATCACTTAAAATAAACTGTATCACTCAATTAAAATGCTCACGGCTCCTCCACTCAAAATTTATAAAAAAACCGACCATTATCTTTCCCAAAATACCATATTTGCAGTTGTATACCCAAAATACCATATTTGGTAAAGTTTCACCTTTTTCTTTATTTATTTTTTAATTTCACCCCTGATCAAATTATTTCCCCGTTGCTTTCATGTTAGTCCTTGATTCTTCAATCCATCACTTTCAAGTCAAATCGACTTCTAACTTCAATTTTCTTCTTTAATTAAGCTTCTAATTGATTTTTTAATTTAGCCATTTGTTATATACTCATCCTTTAACTTGTAATTTCTTTCAATTTTATTTAAATTAAACTAAATTAAGCTATTTTTTAATTTCTTCTTCGATTAAATCTTCAATTATGACCCAAAAACTCTCAACCTCAATTTTTTCCCATGATTCTTAATTTTTGGTGCAATTTCAAACCTAGCTATGTTTTTTTTTTATACTTTTGTAAAGTATTTATTTATTTTGTTTTTTATAATTATTTCTAACCCACACAAAATGAATAAAAATAACAAAAACAATAAAAATGATTAAAATTAACTAAATTTACATTTTTTTTGGATCTTATGTTATTATTTGACATGAAAAAATAATAAAAAATCAGGTTCTTACACACGAGCTTGGCAAAGGAGACAAATTTATCTTAGGCATCTCGGTTTATTGGCAGAATCTCAAGTATGTTTAAGCAACAAGTTCACTAGAACAGTCAAAACGTGCACTAAGACAACTTCAAAAAAAAAAAAAAAAAATAGTAAACACAACAAATTTCTTTAATGAAGTAATAAAAAATGATATAGAATCTATATAATAGATAATCCATTAGAGAGACTATAGTGAAGGAGGCTAATGAACAATGGGATCCGATCATCGTTGATGTCGGAAGACACGTGGAGCAGCCTCTGTTAGCCAAAAAGGATCAATAGTCATGACGTTCCTCGTTTGTCGCCGGTCTGTTCAGACCAGAGAGTGGTATTATATAACCCTAGCGAGTCACAAATTCTCTTTATACTCTTTGAAAATGGTTTTTTTATTTTTTTATTTTTTAAATATAGTTTGTGTTGTTAATGGTGTTTTTGAAATATTATTTTTAAATGATAATTGCGTAGCAAATCCTTGATTTGCGGTTGTAATCCCTAATTTGCTGTGTCCTCGCTCTCTCGGCGGGAGCTGTTGCTGGCGCTGTTAATTATGGGAAATAATTTTTGAGGAGCACATCAGTGTAATTAATCACACTTATCACGCTGCCTGCCACTAATCAACGATTGACCAAAACTCTCCGTTTCATGAAGAAGCAGAAGCGCGCGCACTCCTCAAACCACAAATCACTTTCAAAACTCTACTCCTCGGCCTTGAAAGCATCGTCACATCACAGTATCAAAGCGGAACGAAAGGAATGAAATCCTTCACATTTATTGCCTTTTAGTCTAAGGATTAAAAAATAAAAAATAAAAATCCCTCCTCTCTCCGCTGAACCCAAGAATAACGCCATGCAATTCCAATTCACCCCGTAACTCTCTCTCTCTCGCAGACAGTGAAATGATAGAGAGCTGATTTCTCGAGTGGAATTTTGTATACAACGCCATCCAGGTCTCAAGACTCTGATTCACTTTTCTCACATTAGTTTCTCTTTTTCTTTCTTAGATTGATCGTTCCGATTTTTTTTGCTTAAATTTATTTATTTGGTACAGAGATTTAGTGCTCTTTGGTTAATGATCATGAAGTAGGACTTTTTTTAGTAGGAGATCAATTATTTACTTCTTCTGTGAATTTCTAAATAGGACTTTCTTTTTTGTGAGATCATTGCAGCGAGTTGGAATTTGTGTATAAGATCAATCAATTATGGACTATTCGCAGTCGCAGCAGCAGAAGAGATGCAATACAGTCCTGCTTTCGCCAGCTCAAACTCCGCGATCTAGCGTGAGAAGGAGCTTGAGGGATTCATTATCGATGGACCTGTGGAGTTCGAATATCAAGCCTGATAGAGGAGTCAATGTGGAGGTCATTCTGCGTTGCAGGTAAACAAACTATTTGGCGCTTTCTTGCTAGTTGTTGCATGCTTTCTTGAAGTGTTCAAATAACACTAATACCAATAATTAATGTTAAAAAAAATCCAGGCCATTAAATGACGACGAGAAGAAGCTAAAGTTACCTGTAGTGATTTCATGCAATGAGGGTAAAGGAGAAGTTTCTGTGGTCCAAAACACAGCTTATAAGCAGATAGATAAAACCTTTTCCTTTGACAAGGTTCGGTTCGTTATTGTATTTCTTGAATTGGAAAACTTAAGCTGTGTTGATTAATGCATTATGTTTGCCATTTTTAATTCTACTTTAGATATTTTGGTTTAGGTTTTTGGTCCTACATCGCAGCAAAAAGAGCTGTTTGATGAAGCCATCTCTCCTCTTGTGAATGAAGTTCTCGAGGGCTACAATTGCACTGTCTTTGCATATGGTCAGACAG